GCTATTGCTTCAGGCTGCTTGCAGACTCAGGCACACATCATTGCATTGATTTATACTTGGTTGACAATTTGAGAGCTGCCTTAAAACTATCTGGGATAGAGACTCAATGATGAAATCCCCCTCCCCCCCTCCATGCTTTATGAAATGGACTTATGGACACAAATGCACATAATTGAAAGACGCTTGGGACAAATTACCCTATTTAACCTATCAAACTTTTTGTCATAATCCGCTGGATCTGTTTATCTTGGTTTGGAGTATGTATCATTCTTGTGTGCAAAATTAGACACATAGAGTATGGAATGCTTTATGGTTTTAAATGTGCAAAGGAAAGCCATCAAGGGTGTTTCCAATGCTGGGATGCCTCAATGTCTGGGCAATCATATCAAAATAGCCTTTTGTCCTTAAGACTGCTAAGACTTAGGAAGTCACATGACCTCTCTAACTGGTAGGGACTAGCCAGGTAACTTCTCCTGCAAAAAGGGGGAACCTTTAAAATAGGAAACTAGCAGGTCTGTGTCTTTGTCTGGCTGGCACAGCACAACCAAGGGAATGATCCAAAGACCCCAGGAAGAGGGTGTCCCTGGTATGAAGGCTTAGCTGGAAAAGGAAGATTTTTAGGGTGACTTTGTAATAAGTTTGTACTGAGGTTTTAGTTTTAAAACAGAAAATGCTTAGATAATTCCAAGTTTCTAATCTACTTTGCTCTGCCCGTTCTCACTTATTATTAAATCTTACTGCTTGTACTTATTAAAAATCACTTTTATTTACTACCAAGCCCAGTGTAAATAATTGTTACCTGGGGGAGCAAACAGTGTGTACATCCCCTCTTTCATTGCTAAAGGGGCTTACCTAAATAATTCATTTGAAGTTCTGATCCCATTTGGGGAATGGTATCCCAAAAAGCTGGACCCAAAAAATGTATATTCCTGCAATGTCCATAAAACAGACATTAGACAGGATCACAAAGAAAAAACAGTTGCTTGTCATTTCAACCAGAAAGGACACTGTCTCAATGACCTGCTAACCTGCATCCTACTTCAGAAGACATTCAAATCTGCACTTGAAAGGGAATCCTCTGAACTGGCATTCATGCTAAAATTCGACACTCTCCACAGGGGACTTAACAAAGACTCCAGTTACCTTACCCATTACAAAGATAGCTTCCCCAATTATCACCTCTAATACTATTAACTCACAGACATCTACCCTTCCCCACCTCTAATATCATTAACTCACTGGCATTCACCTTCCTTCCCCCTCCCCCCGCATCGCCCTTCTGTTCTGAAATGTGATTTGTCCTTTTCATATGTGTTCATTTTTTTAAAATTGTATCCTTTGGTATATATGGCTGTGATTATTTTCTTCTACTATTTGATCTGAGGAAGTGGGTCTGGCCCACGAAAGCTCATCATCTAATAAACCATCTTGTTAGTCTTTAAAGTGCTACATAGTCCTGTATTTTGTTTCAGCTACACCAGCCTAACACGGCTACATTTCTATCACTATTGAGACTAAGGGTTAGTCTGTTTTCCCCTGCTCACTTCCTATCAATTGGAAGGCAAACATAATGATAACCCACAGAAACCAAATCAATGTAATCTTGACATACATGCTTACCTAGTGATGAGCCATAGTTTTTTTCAAAAAAGAAAGCAATTTAGACACGGTTCTCTCAAAAAAAAACCCCTTTTTTAAAGAACCCTTTTCCTCAAAAAATGAGTGTGCAGTGTTCTTTCGAAAAAAGTTTTTTTTTTCTTCAGAAGAACCACATCTAACCTACTTTCTTTAAAAAACAAAACAAAAAACAACCCACTTTCAAAAAAGCGATAGGAAGAAGATATGCAAAGTAGCATTGAATTTGTATATCTCTTTTAGAAAGAAGAATGTAGTCTAGATGTACCCTGGGATACCACTATTTTGAGTTTGGAACTGGAAGAACTGTGTTCATGGAGCTTAAATGAGAAATGGTATCACAAATCCTGGGGCACTTCAAGAGATTTTTGGGAAAGGGGGATGGCATCCACATGGGAGTGGAGATCAAGGAAACTGAATTCTGTTCAGTAACTTCTACGAATCACAGCCTCCTATTGGTCTGTGGTGACAGACTCCCATATGTCCTGGAAGAAACCAAGGTATTTCTAGAGGAAGGGGAAGTTTGAATACAGGCAAGTCAGAAATAGCTTTGAGTGTCTTGTGAATCCATGCTGGGACCATCTTTTGATGAAAGAGCCTCAACACCGCCAATTATATAGTCACCTCCTCCATAATCTATGGATGGGACTCAAATCCCCCTAGACTATCTGAAGGAGAAAGAGGATTTGGTTCTCTGACATCTCTTTGAGAGCTTAATTCAACCTAACCTGGGAAATGCTTGGAATACAATCCTGAAATTGGTCAAGATTCTCCTCAACCAGAGCTAAAGCCACAAAATCCAACTGTCCACTGAGTTATTATTAGCTAGGGCCCTCTCACTCACAATTTTAGTCCCTCCTGAGCTGCATCACCAAGTTGCCACCTATTTGTATTTAGATGAGATTTTTTGAGGCTTCTTAACCCTTGATCTGGTTGATAAATGAGCCATGTTCTGAATGTTGAACAGCCACCGAGTAAGGTGCTTACCTGCATACACACAGTGTGCGCTACTGAATCTCAGAGAAACGCCAGTCCTTAATGAACCTTCCTGATTGTGGGTAGAAGTTTCTTTAATGCACATGATCAAATTAGTGATGTTAAGATTGAAAGCCACATTCCATAGCCCTCCTTGGCACATTGTTAGACTGGCAGTCAAGTGATTAAATAACAATGCATTCAATCATAGAACTGAAAGAGATCTCTACAGGTCATCAAGTCCAGAACCCTAAACTCATAGCAGGACCAAGCACCATATAGACTATTCCTGACAGGTGCCTATCTATCCAGCTCTTAATCTCCTGTGACGGAGATTCCACAACCTCCCTAGGCAAAGTATTCCAGTGCTTAATCACACTGATAGGAAGTTTTCCCTAATGTCCAACACAAACTTCCCTTGATGCAGTTAAAACCCATTACTTCTTTTCCCATCCTCAGATGTTAAGGAGAATAATTTTTTATTGTAAAAACTTTTTAGATAGTTGAAAACCGTTATCACATCCCCTCTCAGTCTTCTCTTTCCCAGCTTAAACAAACCCAGTTATTTCAGTTTTCCCTCACAAGTCAGGTTTTCTAGACCTTTAATCATTTTTGTTGCTCTTCTCTGGACTTTTTCCAATTTTGTCTACATCTTTCCTGAAATGTGGCACCCCGATCTAGACACAATATTCTAGTTGAGGTCTAATCAGTGAGGAGTAGAGTGGAAGAATTATTTCTTGGTCTTGCTTACAACACTCCCGCTTAATACATCCCAGAATAATGTTTGCTTTTTTGCAACAGTGTTACACTGCTGACACATATTTAGCTTGTGGTCTACTATGACCTCTAGATCCTCTTCTACAGTACTCCTTCCTAGGCAGTCATTTACCATTTTGTATATGTGCAATGGACTGTTTCTTCCAAAGTGGAGTATTTTGACTTTGTCCTTATTGAATTTCCTCCTATTTATCTCACACCATTTTTCCAGTTTGTCCAGATCATTTGGAATTTTCATCTTATCCTCCAAAGTACTTGCAGCTCCTCCCAGCTTTGTATGATCCACACATTTTATAGCATACTCTTTATGCCATTATCTAAATCACTGATGAGAATATAAAACAGAAATTATCTCGGAACTGATTCCCAAGGAAACCCACTCATTATGCTTTTGCAGCATGACTGTGGATCATTAATAACTACTCTCTGGGAATGGTTTTCCAACAACTTGGATAGATTCATAGGTCTGGAAAGAACCTCAAGCGGTCATCAAGTCTAGTCCCCTCCACTCATGGCAGAACCAAAGCACCATCTAAACCATCGGTGACAGGAGTTGGTCTATTGATGAAGGAATCAATGAAGCACTACTGGATGTTCCCATTATTTGGTGATCTGCTTCAGGATTAAACCTGTTTACTTAAGAGACTGCAGATTAATAGTGACAGCTTCTTCTAAAAACTACAGAAATATGACAGCTTCTGCCAATAACTTGAGCAATGATCAGGCTGCTATAGACTACACTGTTTATACACCATTGACTACTACTTCTACACAGAATATTTAACATGTCCCTTTCCCCCCTCCCTCCATTAGCCAGTACAAGCGGCTGAGGATTTACTGCTGCATTACTCCCTATGACCTGGCTCATTTATCATGTGGATCATAGTAACAATGAGCCAATGTTATCACAATTCTGAAGTTTGTTTTTCAAAACATTTTCAGTACTCTTACTCAACACTGTAACAACATATGACCAAACAGTTATTAGCGGTCTTGATTCTAACACAACCATGGGGCTGAGAAGCTACTTTGAGAGCCAAAGCACCCAGAAATAGCTGTGTATCTTTTCATTTCCTCAACCCCTTGTGTTGATAGATAGACTTATACTACAACTGCAGTTAAGAAGCTAAGAAGAAAATAAAATAGTGACAGTTAACCCAGAGAGCCGTTGTCAAGGGTCAGATTAAAGGGCTGGGACTTGTAGGTTCTGATCTACTTGCGCATATGCAGTTGGTTTCCCTGTACCCCCAGCCAGAGGTTTAAAATGATAACTGCTACAGTTAGTGAGATTCCAAAGCCTGAAGTGTTGGAGGCAAAGGAGAAGTAAATAGACAGTTAAAATGGTGGTTGTTCTTTCTCACCTGTTAATGTTATTTGGTTCCTTAAACTGTTGGAGTGTTGTCTGTTAACCCCCTACCCCTTCCCTGAGTGAGTGCAGAAGAATGTCTGAGGTAAATAGCAGGAGTAAACAACAATGCACACGGCCCCCAGCAGGGTGTGCACACGGCCCCCAACAGGGTGTGCACACGGCCCCAAGAGGCCTAGACTCAGAGGCTGCATGTGGCTGATCCTTAAAGGAGAGAGGAACAGAGAGGGACAGAGACACAGTGGTGGTGGACTATCAAGTGAAGCCTCCCAGAATGCCCTCTGCTCGGATCGCCTGGCCAGCAGACCAGCTTAGGAGTCAACTTGGGAAGATCAAAGAATATGAACTGCCTTCTGCTCGCCTTATCATCCTGCCTGGGACTGTAAGTGTGATTGAATGTATGAATGAGATTCCCCTCCCTTCCCAGTTTTAGTTGAATAAAAAATCCTTTACACTCCCATGTGGTGATCCCCTCTCCTTAGTGTTTAAAGCAGTTGCAATCCACATCCCCTTGCAACATGAAGTACAAGATATTGGATAGCTGCCCTTCTCCATATAAAAAGCTTTGTCACATGCTTGAGAGGGGGAGAATTAAAGCAGGTTGAAGAAATTAGAGTAACTAATGGAATTAAAATATCATGGCAGCGTGTGTGCAGGTAAGATCATTACTAATTACTACACAAAGGTCTGGCTGTAGAATGCATCAAAATGAAGTTACAAATCAGAGGCCTTAGAAGAAAGAAAGAGTTAACAGTAGGAATTCAGTCTGTGGATACAGCATATGCCTATACTCAAAGACAACTGAGAACTTGTGCATGTACAAGGTACAAACTACTTGATCTTCAGCTAGGCTGAAATCCATTGACTTCAAATAGCTAAATCTATTCACTCCAGTGGAAGATCTGGTCCCATGTATTCCCTTACCTTTATTTAACTCTGATCACACTGACCACATTCAATGAATAATGATGGCAATTCAAAACGAGGGATTTTTCCTCCATACGAGTAAGACCTGGCACATACAAGCTTTGCTCAACATACAGTTTAGGACCTTGTCTAATCTTTTTGAGGGAAATCTTGTTTGACTGGAGTAATCTTTGAATAATTTTGGCCACAACTACGTGCTTCATGGGAGAAGTAGTCCAAAGGGGAAAAAACTGGTGGAAATCCACGAGTGTATTTGTGACACAAAGGACCACCCTTAAGGTATGTCTATACTACAGAGTTTTTTGGAAAAAAGAGGCCTTTTTTCGAAAAAACTTCACCTGCATCTAGACTGCCATTGCGTTCTTTTTAAAATTTGTAAACTACTTCTACCAGGAAGAATGCCTTTTTTTTTTGAAAGAGCACTTTCCAAAAAAGGTGTTCTTGAACGCAAACAGGGCTTTTTCAAAAGAGAGAGCGTCCAGATTGCCTGGGTTCTCTCTTTCAAAAAAGCAGATTGCTTTTTCGGAATTCTTCTGGCTATCTAGAAGATCTCTTTCAAAAGAGGCTTGTAGTCTAGATGTACCCTTAGGATGCAAGAATAGGAATAATACTGGAAATAATTTGTGCATAACATTGCTGAGCTTATTTTAAGGTTTTAGTGTATTCAGAAAACATAAAAGGAGACAAAATATCAGGGCCTACACTATACCCTGATTTTGTGACTATGGGAAATATTGTGTTATCAATGGATGACTATAGAAATGCCTTTAAATCTGGTATCCATGAAAATTCTTCCTCCTTACTTAAATCCTACTCTATGCACAGCCCCACCCTGTCCTTTTTTTTGTTTGCCTTAGAGATGCCCACAAATGTTTCAACAAGCAATCATAATGGTATGATAAGAAGCAGGATATTTTGTACCTCAAAGTCATTCATTTTTCTTCTAAAAAGGCCCATGTACCCAGAAAGACCATCGTACCATATACTGATGCTCCTCACTCTTCCTGTCTTCTGTTTAAAAAGCTTGATTTACAGTTGGCAAAGTTGAAAACATACATCATCTAAGCTATTTAAATAAAAGACAAAAAGAGTTCCTGAACTCTGCAACAATAGAATGTGTAGGCATGCTGCAATAGAATCTGTAAAATACAGCTGTATCCTCACTAATGCAGGAGCAGAAATCGGTTCTGAAGTGTCACAGAACTCCAGACCTCAGTAAAACTCAATAGTAGTAACTTAGGGCTAAACTGCGGAGAGCAAAGGGGTGAGGTGCAATCAGGGAACCAGTTACATCCCCCTGATTCTCCATCCAGCCCTGGCCTGAGACACTGGTTAGAAGAACCTGGGGAGCATTAGAAAATGGTCCCTAAGGGGCATCCATTACCTAAAGACAGGTAGGCTGTGTCTACATTGGCATCCCCTTCCGGAAAAGGGATGCTAATGAGACACTTCAGAATTGCAAATCCGCGGGGGATTTAAATATCCCCCGCGGCATTTGCATTTACATGGCTGCCGCTTTTTTCTGGCTCGGGGTTTTTGCCGGAGAAAAGCGCCAGTGTAGACGCGATTCTCTGGAAAATAAGCCCTTTTCCGGAAGATCCCTTATTCCTACTTTCAAGACCAGTGTTCTTTAGCCATGCCTCCTCTTCATTCTGAACCACCTTGGGAACTCTGGGAACAGTAAAATAGGAGGCAGTTATGCCAGCCCTATGCCCATTGGGGACGCCCTCATACTGGGGAAAATTCTATTATGTAAATTGTCTATGCTCCTTTTGCTCTACATGAACAGTGCAAAGGGAGCAAAATGGGCAGAGAATTCGAATGATATAGTATATCTCTCTCTCTCACTCTAATATATATATATATATAGAGAGAGAGAGAGAGAGAGAGAGAAAGAGAGAGAGAGAGAGTCTGTCTGTCTGTCAGTACATCTGCCTGTAAATGTGTGAGTTTGTTCAAGAACTCCTTCTAAACATTAAGAACTAGGGCCACCAAATTTGGTATTCAGTTTCCTCTGATGCTACCTTAAAACAAGGTCAAGGTCAGGATTTATTTCTGCACTTCCTTCAGATCTGGGAACTGGGGAGCTGTGATTACTGACTGAGGGCCCAGCTCTGCAGGCAGTACCACAAAAGGAAGGATGGCAATACCTTATGATGCCGTTCTTATTTCTGTGCTGCTGCCATCAGTGGTTCTGCTTTCCGAGCTGGGCTCTCAGCCAGCATCCAGTACTCTTCAGCCTAGGACTCTGAAGTCAGCGCTGCCACCAGCAGAAATACAGAAATAATAGTAGCAGTACTGCAACCCCCCACCCACACTGCAATAACTTTGCAACACTGCACAACTCCTTTTTGGGTCAGGACCTTTATAATTATAATATGAAATTTCAGATTTAAATAATTAAATTCATGACATTTATTATTTTAAAATCCTATGAGTGGGAAATTGACCAAAATGAACTGTGAATTTGGTAGGGCCCTAAACATCACATTTTTGCACATAATAAATGTGACATATGGCCTGAGATGCAAAAGTTACATATAGAATACACAAAAAGCAGAGATAGTTTGATAACTCACTTCACATAACATTGCGGCTGAATATGATTTCATGGTGGTTTAAACATGTATCCCCATGACAAAATGACAAAATGGTCTTAAGTAATTTAAATCCACAAAAAGCAAAGAAATTAGCCAATCAGATTGCATGGATCATTTCTCAATATTCCATCAACTTTTAATTACCCCAAAGATTGTAATAGCTCTTTTGGAGCAGATACACACTATCACATCAATTTGGCTGCCACAAATGCACACCACTTGCCCTCAAGCTAAAAATCATTACGAAATTATTGTAAAAGGTTGTGCACAGCAGCAGGTTTTCGGACTTCCATGCTTCACAACTTTTTCTTTTTATAAATAGCAAAGTAATTAGATGCTATTATGAAGCAACAAAACATTTCAGTTTTTAGTTTTCAGAAATGTGGGTTATGGAAGCATGAATATTCCCTTAAATTGGCAAACTTCTGCTTGCACTCTCTGTCACAGCCTCATAGTCTATCTGTGTTCATACACACACTCAATTCTAGTTATTTTTATATAGGCTTTTTTATATATAGTATCCTAAAATATTCTAGAAAAAGAAAGTAAAAGCCCTTTAGAGACTTAGGTAAACACACAGCAAGGCAAAAACAACAAAGTGAGAGGAATAGAAGAAAAAGATAATTTCAAAGCATAACTACTGCAGATGAGCTGTCTAGGATATTAAATATATTAAGAGAAGGGAAAAATATAGGAACACAAGAAGGAAATGGTGGATGAGATTTAATCTAAACCACAGCCTAACATAATGAGGACTCCTTATAGGTGGGAACTATGGGGAATGAATGACTCAGTGGCGTATGATTTAGAGAAAGGGAGGGATAAAAAGCTGCACATACACAGGACACCCTCTTTCACATATGCATCCCAAACGATGGAAAGTCAAAGGACGGACTGAGAAGAGATTAAAACTGGAGGAGCACTGGAACCATTTATTACATCTATATGTCCCCACCTCTGTTTTGCTTCCTTCAGTGTGCACTCCTTATCTTCCTATATCTTCCCTTGTCCCTTTCTGCCATCCCCAATCCCTCCACTCTCTATATCTTTTCCCTTAGGCCTAAACAATCACTGGCATAACTGGAAGTCAGTGGTGTTATACCTATTTATGCTGGTGGTGAATGTCAGCTTTACTCCCTGCCAACCACCAGTAAACTTCTTCCTGTAGTATTTATTGTTATGGATTTTTAAAATGAGGTATCTGTATTCTAGGCACATGCACAATTACAAGTAGTAAAAAAAGAAATAAAACAATAAGTGGCAAGTCCATAGTATATCTCCTGACATTTTCCTGGTCTCTTACTCCATTGCAATTTTCTTCCCCCAATGCACTCGTCTTTCTCTCTCACGGTACGTATACACTAGCCCCCTAGTTCAAACTAGGGAGTCTAATGAGGGCGACCGAAATTGCTAATGAAGTGCGGGATTTAAATATCCCGTGCTTGATTAGCATATTCCCTGCCGGTCATCATTTTGGAAACTTACTAGCCCGAAGTAACTGCCCAGATACCAAGTGGTGGGACCTCCTACCACCAATGGAGGGTGGGGAGCCCCGGTGGACCATTCTCTATTCCACCTTGGTTCCACAGCCCACCGGGGATATCAGCTGGAGAATCCTTGATGGAGCTGTGAGCAAGGGCATGTACTTGGCGCGGTTCACCCCTGTCCCTAACACTTGCCCCTTCTGTAGCCTGAGGGAGACCCTGGTGCATGTTTATCTTGAATGCGCCAGGTTACAGCCCCTTTTCCAGCCTCCTCCAGAACCTCCTGGTGAGGTTCTGGCTGCAGTTCTCCCTTCACCTTTAATTTACACGTACCCCATCTGTGGCCCACGAAGTCGCAGGACCTCCTTGTC